AAAACTAAATATCCAACTGGAGTCACACCAGAACGACCAAAAGCTGTGACATTTGCAGAATTTTTACCAAAGATATCCAAAGAAGGAGAAAGGAATAGGGGAAGGGGAAGAAGGAGGGGAAGGGGAAGAAGGAGAGGAAGGGTAGAGGTCGTGGTAGGGGAGGGCAGGATTCCAGGGTTTGATTTTTTTAAAAAATCGAATGAGCTTATTTTGTACGGTCATAAATCCCAAGAGGATAGTCACGTGATTAAATTCGTTTATAGCATTACTGTATAAATGCACTTTAACGATACATGTGCATATTATTTTTTCGCAATAAACAATAAAAAAATCCAAGTGCATTACTTTTGTAACGCTGATTACATGATTAATTCATTATTCGTTAAATGTACAATCATAGAAAATTTAAAGTTTTGAGTTTAATCAATAAGACCCAATTCTTCGTAGTACCAGACATCTTAAAACGATCCAGTTTTCTTCACATAATTGTTTCTTGAGTTGATCTCGCTCTTGTTGTTTAGCGAAATTATTGGGATCACCATTATGAAAGAATTCTATATATCTTTCGTGTTGTTCTCCTTGTACTTCGGTTGCAAATCCATATTGCGGGAAATAAATGTCAAGTTCTAATCCAGTTGGGTGATCTAAAGTTTTAAGAAAATCAGGTCGACGTATCTCAGATGGCGGTCCAAGACATTTTGACATAATCTCTCGACACAATCTTTCATGTTTATATTTAGAGCAATATGGACACCATGTATTACATGAGAAAGGGTAGCATACCATTGATGGTTTTTATTGCATCTCCAGAGTAACTGGCTTTTGCAATTGGTATAAGAATCCGTTAAAGCATTCCCCTCCTCGACTATATGCAATAGCTTTGGCTACCAAAATACCAAGTTTTGTGCTAGCGCAATATGGACACCAATAGTTCTTGTTCTTAATACCACTGAGGGAAGCGAGCCATTCATGTGATTTGGAACATCTCCAGCGTAAATGCGTTGTATAATTGATGTAAACATCGGATAAGCACTCTCCATTTCTGCTACATGCTAATTCTTTCGCATATTCAATGTCAAGTTTCTCAGACTTACCTACACAATGTGGGCACCAAGTCCCCCTCGTTGAATACTATCGATTCGAGCAAACCATGAATGCCCTTTAGAACATTTCCAAGATATTGGAGTACGTCTGTTATGACAAGAGCTAGAAAGACATGTCCCATCCCTTTTATTTGCAAGATACTGGGAATTCAAGTCCAAGTTTCATACACTCACGACACCAATTTTTTCCATTTTTGACATTTGAAAGAGAAAGGAGAAACCGATGAATATTTTCACATTCCCATAAAAGAGGTGAGTTAATATTAACGTAATTCTCAGAAATACACCATCCATTTTTACTGCATGCCAATTCTTTGGCCACTGAAATATTGAGTTTTCTATTTGAGCAGTAAGGACACCATGAATGACGATTTTTGATAGATCGAAAAGAACACTTCCATTGATGGTATTCGCTACATTCCCAAGCATTGGAATTTCACAATTGATATATTCTTTGGAAAGGCATTTTCCTCCATGAGATTCTGCTATCTTTATTGCATCATTCAAAGAAAATTTTCTAGGCATTGCGAATAACAAAATATATTTCTTAAATAATTATTCTACTTTTCAATACACTATGGAGTATTATAAACTACGCAAATTAGACGAAACTATACCTTCAAAAAAACAGAATCAATTCGCACCTAGACACCCATTTAGATTATTGGTTGCGGGCACCTCTGAGTCTGGAAAGACGAGCATGGTAGTACATCTGCTCCTAGGAAGTAAATATCCAAAAATATATCCGTGTATGTCTGGTGAGAAACATGGTTATAAAATACCAAAAGGAGGGAGCAAAAATTTTGGTGAAAGGTATATTCCATGTGATGATCTAATTGTTGTTGCGCAACATCAAGATGAAGAGTTATGGGAAGCGGTACAATGTTTTTATATGAATTTATAGCTATGGATAAGCAAGCTCCATGGTACGAAAATGTGAGATTCAAGCTGATCGGGCCTGAAGAGTTACCTGATATTTCATCTTATAAAGAAACAGGCCGATTCACTCTTATAATCCTTGATGATCTTGCCGGTGAACCTTTAGCAACACAACTGAAAATCATACCTTTCTTTAGATCAGGTAGACATGAAGGAATTAATGTAATTTATATTGCCCAACGTTTTTATGAAACCCATCGCGCAAATCTTAAATATATTTCACTGCACCGTGGATGTGGAACATTAGATAGTATAAAGCGAATTCTTAAGGATATGTATGATGATTATGAGCCTCTAGCAAAAAAAGTCTATAAAGTAATAAAAAAACACTTCGTAATTATTGATATCCGAAGACCATCTGATGATCCCTTATCAATTCGATTTAGATGGGACAAGCCTTTAAAGGACTAGCAGGAATTTGAAATAAATGCTTTGTAGCCTCATCCATATCCATGATAAAGTTTCATAGGTGGTAGGCTCGATAAGCCATTGTTCTGCAATAATTCTTTTTTTGGTTCTTTTGCACATCGGATTGGGAATCCATAACTATTGTTTCTATAAACTAAGTAAAAAATTTCTTTCTTTTTAATACCCTGCTCTTATATCTTGCAATTGCTCGCTTTTCCTCCCTAACCCCATGTATGTCTCAATATCACGAACCATATAACTGCAATAATTAATAAAGTAAGAAAGATATATGCCGATAGTGGTGATATCAAAGTACTTGCTACAATAGGGATTGTTTCTATTCCTCCTATCGGAAGAGGCAAATCCTCGAGACTAGGCTTCATCTGGGAATTCGATTCAACCAAAGATGGAGTATGATTTTCCAGTTGTACAAGGAGTGGAATCATATTTCCAGTTGTAATTGGAGATATATCTGGTTTTATCAATATATCTAGCATATTATTCTTGTTAGTATTATTAATACTGGTTTCATCACTTACCTTGATAGTATTCTCAGTATCGACTTTTGGTAGTTTTGTAATCTCATCATGCCTCTTTGAGGCGCCTAAAGGCTTGGTATGTGTCAAGATATTACCATCGATTTTTCCAGTTTGATCCATACTTTTTCTACATATAAAATATTGACTGAGGTTTTTGATAGGTTCACTAACTGCAGATATATTTTTTTTTGTCATTTCCACCACCAATTGCGGAGCAGGCCATTAGGCGATTCTTCGAATCATAATCCAAAGGGTCTTAGGATTTTGATATATTCTCAGATTTCAGATACCCAAGCTTATTAACTGTTGAAGCTAACTCTTGTTCTAATTAGACTATTTTAGACTTAAGAGATAATATCTCAGATTTTTTTTGGTAGAATCTTTTTGGATCGAAAACACATCTTTCTGGGCCGAAGAAAACTTACCTTCTAATATCTTGATCATAGACTCAAGTGATCTAATTTTCTTGGATTCATTCTGAGTTGAAGATAGTTTCATTTCCAATATCTTTATCTTAGACTGGAAATCTTTTATTTTGATTTTAGATTCATTAAGGGAAATATCTTTGTGAGTAATCTGAGATATTAAACTATCTAATTCTGAGCTTAATCGCTTAACTTCTTCTATAAGCTGATAGATATGCTTGGAAAGTTTTTCTTTATCTTTATTGGCTTGTTTTAGATCACGTTATATACGCTTATTGTCTTTATCCAAGATAGTACATTTATTAACAAGTCGATTGCCACATTCTATAGCAATTTCTTGATCTTTATTGCACAAAAAAGCTGGTTTTCAAGTTCTATTCGATTAGGTGGATATCGATTAGATGGTATGCCCCCTCCACTTATATCTGACAATGTATAAATTTGAGGCATATATGTTATAATACTGGCTTCACTATTATATCAATAAATAAATATACCTTTTATAAAAAAAAAATAGATATAATATATTAAATAGATATGCTAATTTTAATGTATTATATAAAATATATGTATTAAATAAATAATATTATTCTATATATTTGATATATTCTATTTTTCCGATATATTTTTATTAGATAAAAAAGCAAAATAATTACACTTATTACTATGGTTAGAGTGCGTATAAAATTTGATGCACCTTTGTTTTCTGCTGAAGATTATTAATATATAATACAATGTCGTGATATAAAGCCACGATACAAAATTCTAAAGAAATTATTAGAAAAATATAAAACATTATCAAACGTATATATCAGATTTGGAGAGGAGAAGAGACTAATAGAGTTCTCTGGGATCAACCTATACCTCATTCATATAATATATAAAATGCACAAGTACAGTCTAATATATCTACTCATGAAGTAACTCATGAAGTAAATACTTCTGATAATAATTTATCTAGTATAAATGATACGATTTACTCTGAAGTTTCATTAGATAAATTAGTAAAAATGTAACGACCAAAGATTCAAAATTCTACTTCCTTATATGCTGTAAAAAAAAGTGCCTCTTCTGTGGATAATACATCTAGAAGAAAAGCTGATCTTGAAAAATTAATAAAAAATACTGATAAATTGGCACCTAAAAATCTGTCTTTATCCCAGTAAGTTGAGAACATCTTTCTGCAAGAATCTTACCAGCTTTTAAAGCTATATCAAACCATTCTTTAATCTTTATAAGTCACTTTTCAAGTTCATCCCATTTTTTTTAACTCTTCAATAGATAAATTGAAATCTAATATTTATGAAATCTCAGTATCTTTTGGTAGATCTTTCGCTATTGGAGCCTAGCTAAATGTTGAAATAATATAAGACTTACCATGAATCTTTATATGAAATTGATTATTAGGATCAAGAATACCATAAATCTTATAAATATTTGACATGCATTGGTTCAGATTCACCGTTATTAATACATACAAAATTTTTAGTAATTATAGTTTTATTATATTTATTATTCATATATCTATAAACCATCCTAATGACTTGATAATATGTTTGAAATTATCCTGTATTGCAAAATTAGATGGCCTATCATTTTCCCATTCAAATACATTAATTGCTGAATTATTCAAAGCTCCAAACTTACTTCCAGAATCTAAGAAAGAATCAGAAATTGTTAAATTATTTATACTAGCATTTAGATATTGTAGGAATGAAAACCACTTATTTTTCTTTAACTTTTTCTCTTGAGTTTTTTGAGATAAACACATTTTACATATTGTTGATGAAAGCTTTGATATTAACTTATCATATGTTTCAGGCTGACTAATAGAATCTTCAAATAAGTTTTTATTTATCCATTTTTTTTTCAGAATTATCAAGCCATATGTTTTTTTCTTTATAATATCCACCTTTATTATTATCATATTTATATTGAAGGTATATAGGCTTAAGAGATATAAAATAAGATCAAATAAAATTAGATTTTGCAGTATTATCTTTTGTATATTTAGTTTCTGAAATTGGTTATTTAATTGATTTATTATATCTCTTTCTTTATTAATTTCATTCTTTATTTTATTAATCCTAGTAGATATATTATTTTGCTGTAAATGAGATCTTTAAAATGGTTTATTTGAATAAAACATTATGATTATTTTCTTCGATAAGACCTAAATCTTTAAAATATTTACTTAATAATGGTTTTAATAATCTTTATTCATTTGTAAATTTGATGATGAACCTTTTGATTATCTAATTGATTAACTGTTTATAAAACAAGTATTTGCTGAATTATTTATGCTTGGAATTTAGCTTTCTGTTTTTTTAATAAGAACTGGAATTCAGTTTTTTGCTGTGATAATGTATCTTGATATGATTTTTGTATATCTGCAATCTATTAAGAAATTGAAACAGGTGAAGGCTCATATATTTCTCAAAATACTCATTGAGATATTAGTTAATCAGATTCTCTATCTCTTTTATGCTTAGATATTTGATATAGCTTTATTTCATAAAGTTTTTTAGCTAATTCATCTAATAACAAATATTTATCAATATTTTTAACTTTTTCAAGCCAAGGAATTGAAAGAGTATCTAAAAACTTATTATGTAATTCTTCTGGCCTATAATTTGCTTGCCTGTCTATTCGTAACAATTTTTTATATAATTTATCTATAGTTATGCCTCTTTTTAATTGTTCCATATTATAAATCCTGAAGATCCTCTTCTACTATAGAAAAATGAGTTTTTAATCACCATATAGCTTGGTCGAATCAAATACTAGCTACAACTACTGTATTACTAGCACTAGTATTTGAAACATTTGGAGTATTTAAAATAAGATTAGTAGGTGACCTTCTATTATATATCCATTTTCATTCCAAGGATCTTTTATAGAAAGTAAATATATTATTATGAATAATTAAAAAATCTTTTTTAAAAAAAAATTTATTTAATAATATTAATTCAAATTTTTATAATGCATTTATTATATTGTTATGATTATGATAGTAAATAGTATTAGTTCTATTTTTAGAATAGTTTAGTTTATTATTTCTTTATTATTATTATTATTATTATTATTATTACTATTTTTATTTTATAGTTAATATATATGTCATAACCAATATATTAGTTATATATAGCATATAGGGTAGATCATATAGTTATAGTAGATTATATGGATATGGCATTTCTGCCAGGTATTGCTGATATAAGAGATCAAACGGATCCAGCAGACATGACAGAACTGGTATATTTATACTATTGTTTACATTATTTTCTTATGATTCAAAGATGTATAAATAGAACAGCTGTTCTTTCCAGCTGGCCAAGGAATTTTCCTAACTTTTTCCAACTCTTCAATAAAAACTAATCAAATTCTATATCCAAATTACCATGCCTCTTACCTTATATTGGATAAATCTTGTTGAATTCCTTTATCTTATCAACTCTAGTATATCACAATTGAGATTATCCCCCTTTAACTTAAGTGACTTCCTGCTACAGTTGTCCATTAATCTATTCAATTTTAAGGTTTATTGGATAGGCTGACAATATATAATGAATTATTTTTAATTCTTTTATTATTTTTTTTATTTTTGGTTTCAAAGTTTTGAATTTTTCTTTAATTAAATAAATAATTTTTGATATACTGTATAATTTTTTTTAAATATTTGTTTAATATTTTCTAAGAAATTTTTAAATATATATATATTAAATTCATTAGAATTCTTGAAATATTTTCAAAAATTATTAAAAAACAGTTGTTTTAAACAATATATTCAATTTTGAAATTAGAATATTTTCAATATACAAATCTTAAGCTTATGTTTATTTATATTTTTTAATTAAAAATCTATTGCAAAATACTTTTTAATATATAAATATCATATTAACTTCTTATAACTTTTTGCAAACTACTTATTATAAACTTTTGAATACTTATTAAAAGCTATAAAAAGTATTATAAAGCAAAGATAAAATTTTAACTTTTATATATATTTTACTATTTAATAAATTAATAATAAACATCT